GGTCAATGAATGCAACTAGAGACCATACTCATAAGTGGCATAAATCAGATCCACATGTATAAACACTATTTTGTCTTCCTAGTGTAAGAACCTGAAAAAGTAAATAAAATCTGAAAGGTACAGTAGATAGTGTGAAAGCAAAAGAAACTTCTCAATAGGAAAAAACAGCTGGGTTGAGGGAAAGGAGAAAAGAAAGAAGGAAAGGAAAAAAATATGTTTGTATACACAAGATAGCTTAGATAATTGCACTACTAATTTCTATTGGTTTATTGAAAGGAACAGTTCATGTTTAATTATTTGATCAATCTTGCATACTTATATCTGGTAATCTAAGCAATTAATTTGAAGATAACAATAAGTAATACAACAACCATTGTTAATTTCCTATCATCTTGTTTTCAAATGCTGTATCATTTTTATAGTTTTTGTGTTGTTTTGTTATTTTGTTTTTGTTCCTTTGTCTTTAAAATAAAAAAACAACTTTTTATAAACTCATTCACAAAACAGGAGAGCAAAGGTCACTTTTAAGTTTATTGTACAAGGCCAGTACTATCCTGATGACAAGATACGCAATACAAGGAAAGAAACCTATATTACAATTTCCTCCATGAATATAGAGGTAAGAATCCTTAGTGAAATATCAGCAAACTGACTCCGGTAACATATAAAAAGATTATAAACTATAGCCAAGTGAAACTTATCCCAGGAATGTAATGCTGGATCAACACACCAAAATCAATCAACAGAATATAAGACAAAACCATACAACCATCTCAGTACATGCAGTAAAGCATTTTACATAATCCAACACCACCTTATGAGAAGAAGGCAACAAGTTAGGAATAAAATGAAAAATCCTCAATAGGATAAAAAGAAACTATAAAATTCCACAGTTAACTTCATATTTAACAGTGAAAGACTAACTGCTTTTACCAGTAGATAACCATGCCAGGATGTTTGCTCTCCATGCTTCTACTTATAAATAAGGCAATTAGGAAAGTAAAAGGAGTAAAATCATTTAGGCTAGAAAATGAATAAATAGAGCTATATATATATTAGCACATGGCATTTTATATATCTTGCAGACACAGCATCCTAAGGAACCCGACAAATATTCTGATATTAACACTTTCAATAAAGGTTTCAGGATACAAGATCAACTTACAAAAATCAATTTTATTTCTGTACACTAGCACTAAGCAACAATGAAATTAAAATTTTCACTTATAATAGCATTGAGTGGAACAAAATACTTAGAAATAAACAATAAATAAGGTGGAGAATTTTACACTGGACATTACAAAGCATTTTTTAAGTTAAAGAAGATCTAAGTAAACAGGAAGTGTTCATGGATTAGAAGACTTGATACTTTTTTAAATGCTTGTGTTCTCAAACTGGTCTACAGATGAACTAAAATCTGAGTCAAAATCCCAGCTTGCTTTTTTGCAGAAATTGGCAAACTAACTGTGAAATTCATATGAAAACACAAGGGATCTAGAATAGCCAAAATAACCTGGAAAAGAATAAAATTGAAGGAATCACGATTTCTGATTATAAAGAGGCATAGTCCATCACAAATTTCTTAAGTCAAACTCTAATGATTCAAGTATCTCCTTCCTATATTTGCATTTCAGTGAGTAAAGAGAGGGAGAAAAGAAAGAACAAAGAAAAACATCTATATAGAACTTTTTCTTCAATATTTATGACCAGAGAAGATTCACTGTATGTGTCATTCTTATTTTTTCCACCTAATTAATGATATCAGCAGAAAAACTGAATGTTCATTTGCCTTCCAATTTCTAGGTTAACTAACCATCTCTCTCTGCTGGTAACTATCTCTTCAGGTAGCATTTAAAAGATTCTAAATGATGACTGAGAACTTGAATATAAATGTATTTCATCTATGATATCTATGTTCCTAAGGTAAGCATTAAACATGGATCGCTGGCCAATTACCTAAAAAGTCCTTCACTTTTCCAGTCCCACCCACTTGGCATATATGAGAATGGGTTCTGGAGCCACAGTGTAACAGCTCAGGTCCTGGCTCTGCCATTGCCCATGGCATATGAGTGTGGGCACATTATTTAAACTCTCTGTGCCCCAATTTCTTTATAAAATGTGGCTAATAAAGGCACAAACCTCATAGAGTTGCTTGGGAGATAAAACAAGTTAATATATGTAAAAGTTTACAATAATATCTGCCACAAAATAGGTATAATATTAGTATTATTTAGATGTCATTCACTTTTGAATTGAAAAAGGAACTGGATAAAGATGATTCTGAACACTGTTTCCTGACCAGTTTATAAAAAGAAAAAATATCGTTTGAATTTTGTTCTGAACTCTTTAGCTATGGTCTAATAGAAATCTAGCTGCTATATTAGGAACAATTTTCTTTCTTTTGCCCAGATTTGTTATATATCCTTTTCATTTAATATAGATTCATATTGGATCTCCTCTGATTTAGCTTAAAGGTGAATGAAAATTTTAAGATATTATTGCTGGCATTGTTATATCCCTTACAAGAATTAATACAAGTAGAATCAAAATAAATTTAACTGAATACTGCTTAGCATATATTTTCATTGCTTAGGATTCTGTATCCCATTTCAGAATGGCTGAACGTATCTGACAATTATTTACTTTTATGGGTAGAAACACAATTATTTCATTGACTTGTTTATTTAGTTTATATTTATTGAATGAGTACTATAATGCTGTCTTTCAAAAATAATGTTAGGGGCTGGGGATTTAGCTCAGCGGCAAAAGTGCCTGCTTGGCAAGCGCAAGGTCGTGAGTTCGGTTCCTGGTACCAGAGAAAAACCAAAAAAAAAAAAAAACCAAAAAACAAAAATAATGTTAATAAATTACTATGAACAGAATGTATTATTGATGTCCTTTAAAAGAATTCATTTAACATAAATGATAAGTTACAATTAATTAGGTAAATAAATATATAAGTGGAGGAAGTAGTATATGTAGCAAAACAAGTGGTACTCCATTCAGTGTGTCAGTTTTAACAAATAAACTGGTTAACTGTATCTTTGTGGTATCAGTGCCTTCTTATTTCTATTAGAGTAATACAACAGCTATATGCTGTGCTGGAATTCATTTTATCCACAAGTTTTTCTCCTTCACCTTACACAAATAGACAAGCTCTTGTGGATCATTTGCTTTCCTCTGAGTAGATTATGCAAAGGGAAATGGAACTATTTGAATTTCCATTGCTACTTGTGTCTCTTGGTCTGGGCTTGCAATATTTTAAATCAGGGCTTTACCCCTCCTCCAAATCAGCTGGTCAAGGAATATGATAGGTGCAGTATAAAGGGTGACTGTGGCAACAGGCAACCTTATTATAAAATACACCTATAGTCAACCTAAAGCCTTTACCTTAACAAAATTTTGAACTTTATTTACTTGACTTAGTCTTGATAGTATCATGATAATAACCAATTAGAATAATCTTGTCATCCTTCAGCTTAAATTTCCTTATCTGTAAAACTTTTTATTTCTCCGCAGTTCTAAGAGTCTGTTCTTCCAATATTATTTGCCTTATCTCTAGATTTAATATATTTTACACTGTAGATTACTCAATACAAACCAAGATACCTTTTTATTCAACTGTGACTTGAACGAGTATAGAATAGAACCTATCTTTGAAGAACAGTCACTATTTTGAATCATGTGATACAGATCTTAAATTTTTGCATCACCACAGATTCCTTAAGTTCTTGGAAATGAACATATGTAACTACTATGATTTAAATTCAGATTTTATACGGACTTATCTATCCTGGTTCATTCAAAGAGGAAATGCAGTTGTTTGCAGATCCTCTAACAAGTGGGTAGGAAGACTAAGATATCCTTTCACTTTGTACTCACACTTACTTCAGTTAATGCTCTGTAATGGAATAAATTTATCGACTGAGCGATCTAAAGGAATGACAAAGTTTCTAAAACTTCTATAGATTTTTCAAAATGGTTTTAATTTGAAAACTTCTGAGGGGTCTTTGATTTGAAAATGTTAATTTCTCGATCAAGACGCAGGGTGGCGCTGCAGGCTAAGATTGTGAACCCAAGACAGAGCCCCCGGAAGTTCTCATATTCTTTTGTATTGGGAGACGTAATAAACACCGCACAAGAAGCTTTGCAAGCCATTCAGGATTACCAATGGTTGAAGGAAATGATATACTAATTTTTTTTTAATTTAAAATCAATCTTGTGGCGATTCCTACAAGCAAGAAATTAGAATTTGATGTTTCAAGCTTTTTTTTTTTTGCACGGGGGAAATCGCTGAAAAAATTGGATACAAAGACCCGGATTTGAGGATGGAGAAGCTAAACGGAATTCATCCAAACAAGCAAGTAATGTCTTTTACTTTCATGATGTTTTTATCTCGGGTTTGGTCGGAGCCTATTCATTATTCTGTGTCAGAGGAAACTGAGGGTGGTGCCTTTGTAGCCCATCTGACCAAGGATCTGGGCCTGGGAACTGGGGAACTGGCTGCCCGGTCGGCCCAGGTGGTCTTTGACGATGATAAGCAGTATTTGTTGCTGGATCCTCAGACTGGAGATTTGTTTCTGAGGGAGAAACTAGACCGAGAGGAACTATGTGGTCCTGCTGATCCGTGTGTGCTGCATTTTCAAGTGTTCCTTGAAATGCCAGTGCAGTTTTTTCAAGGAGAGTTATGGGTTCAGGACATTAATGACCATTCTCCAATGTTCCCTGCTGAGGAAGTGCTCTTGAAAATACCTGAAAACAGCCAGCCAGGGACTGTATTTCCCCTGAAATTAGCCGAAGATTTGGATGTGGGCAGCAATGGGCTTCAAAAATATACTATCAGCCCTAATTCTCATTTTCACGTTCTCACTCGAAATCATAGTGAGGGCAAGAAATTCCCAGACTTGGTGCAGGACAAGCCACTGGATCGGGAGGAGCAGGCTGAGTACAGCTTAACCCTCACGGCTCTGGATGGTGGGTCTCCACCTAGGTCTGGCACTGTCAGGGTTCAAATCCTGATCATGGATGTCAATGACAATGCTCCTGAGTTTGTGCACACCCCATATAAGGTGCAGGTCCTGGAGAACTGCTCCTTAAATTCCCCAATCTTTAGTGTCTTAGCTAGAGATATGGATGCTGGAAATTTTGGAAGTGTTTCCTATGGCTTGTTCCAACCATCAGATGAAATTGAACAAACTTTCTCCATGAATGCAGTCACGGGAGAAATCCAACTGCAAAAGAAACTGGATTTTGAAAAAATTAAGTCTTACCATGTGGAAATTGAGGCCACAGATGGAGGAGGCCTCTCTGGAAAAGGAACAGTAGTCATAGAGGTGGTGGACGTGAATGACAATGCCCCCGAGCTCACCATAACTTCACTCAGCAGCTCCATTCCAGAAAATGCTTCTGAGACTATCGTCTCTATCTTCAAAATTCGAGATAGAGACTCTGGAGACAATGGAAAGACGACTTGCTCTATTCCAGACAACCTTCCATTCATTCTGAAACAGACTTTCAAGAATTTTTACACTCTGGTGACAGAAGGACCACTAGACAGAGAGACTAGGGCAGAGTACAACATCACCATCACCGTCACCGACTTGGGCACACCCAGGCTCAAAACCCAGCACA